AGATTTATACTTGGGTACTCAAGGAGAAGGAATGTATACTGTCATTTGCAGGCTGTCATTTGAGCATAAGTATTTTCAAATACTTTCCAGGGTGAAATCTGTAATGCAGACGATATAATGCCCAGTGAGTGCTCTTATGAAGCTAACTGTTCCCAGGTGCCAGCCTTGATCCTGATGAGCTATGCACTCTAATGTGGGGCCGCTCACCAGTCAGCCAATCTTATATGGTTCCTTTGCTACTTTAAAAAGGAAAAAACAGGATTGCCTCTTGACTTATATAATTCCGCTGATGTGTGAGTAGGGCACTGCCCGGCTCCCAATCAAACTTATTTTGTCTTTTTATGAGGAACCTGGCCCTTCCATGAATGTTGCCAGCAATAAAGTGACCTGTCCTAATCTACGTTTGGATTGAGAACTTGAAAATGTAGACTTTATAATTATCATATGGATGTCATCTCTGTGACTTTGAAGTAAAAAGTAGAATAAATTATATTGTATTCTGCATTATTCATGGATTGGATGCTGAGCATTCTTATTCACTAATTTAGTGATTAGGCAATTAACAAAAATCTTTCCAAGTTAAAATATAAGGTATGTCATTTGGTATAAGAATATTCTTTTCCAAATTTTCCTTTTAGATTCACTGTTATGTTGGCTTTAATGTAAAATAGACAAGGTCACTGTGCTGATTTTTATCTAAAAAGTTGATTTTTATATTGAAGAAAAAAATACTTATTTTATTCAAACATTAGATTTGGAAGAGTAATAGTTTAAAAAATAAGGAAGTGACATGTGAGGCTCCTCTCCTCCCTTTTCCCCTCCCCCATTAAAAGATATTTTGGAATCCAAGGTGCCCCTGTACCTCTTGATGTTAATGGCTGCATTTTTATTTTCAATTCCTTAGCAATTAATGGCAAAAACCAAAAACTAAATTCATGTGTATCAAGAGCACCACCTTCTCTTTTTGCCCATATTGCACTTTTATTTCAAACTATGCACTGCGAAGAGACATTTTCCCCGATAGAAAAGGATGTTCCCTATTACTGGTGTTTTACTGGGCTGTGGAACCTTCTTCATTCTCACCTTTCTTCAAGTCCTATCTATAGACTTGATATCTCTTAAGCCTCAAGTCCAGGCAATTCCAGTCAGGCTGACCTAGGTGCTGGCTGGAGAGAAGCCAAGTCTCAAGGAAAGTCAACAACAGAAAATGAGATATGATGATGCTAGAGGGCATTTGTCTTTGATTCTAAATGTGGAGGGTTCAGGACAGTGGGACATAAGCTTGTAGTAAACATTGTGGCTATCTTAAGCCATTGGACAGTGGGGATTAGGAAGTAGGAGAGGTTGTCCTACAAAGAATCCTTATTCTTCAACAGGTCCGAAAGTTGTTTCTGTGTATTCCTTTTTATCTATAAAGCTTTCTTTATTCAAGTTTGGGTATTATGTATTACCATCGTTAGCCTCCCTTAATGGGACAACCGTATGACCCAGTACCTTAAGACTGCCTCGTTTTGAATTGAATTTCAAACTTTGAAATTGCAAGGATTTAATTTTGAAGTTGAATCCTATGAAAGGTATGTTCATGACTAGGAATAATACCCTAACGCTCTACACAGAACTGTTACACTAGTGGCAGAAAATCCTATTGACTGCCTCACCCATCTCAAATACCCTCAAGGAAATTAAGGGTAGTGTGATGTTCCATGTAATGAAACAGGTTTGGAACATTATTTCCTTTGCTGTCACTTATGTGGTTTTTTATCTCACCCTTCAAAAATTTGTTTTCTTGGATATATTTTTTTCAATGTTCAGACTCTTTGAAATCTGTAATTACAATCAAGTGCTTTTCATGGCTGAAAGAGTTCTGGTGGCTTCAAGTTTACTAGCACTTTACTCAATGATATTGTGCAGTTATTTGTACAGAAAGGCACCACTGTGCTAGATAAAAGTTGCAGAACTTGGTAGAAGAGTCAGATTGTGTCCTTAGGTGTCTATCACTTCTGAGTGCATTTCTTCTAAAATATGTTTATTTTAGTATTCTTCAGCATTATAAAAGGGCACTTCTGTAGCACATTAAAAAAGTTCTAAGTCTCTTAATCTTGGCCTTGTTTCCAAATCCTGTCTTCCATTTTGTTCTGCAATTCCTGACCACTTTTATAAAAAGCTCACAAATCTTTGAAGAAACTGGAATAGGCTGTTATTTTTATCAAGGTTTATAAATTAAGTACTTGATTTTTAATGTATCCTCTACTGTTTTGATTTTCAGATTTTATTCAGTTTTAATAAGATGTGCCTTTTATTGGGTAATGTTAATTCACGAATGTAGTAATGTAATTTCACGATTGTAATAATGTTACATGATCATGGGTGTGGCATTCTCTAACAGGTGATGTGAAAGGAAAGTAGTTTTCATAAAACTCATGGCTCTGATTGCACAGTCCTTGCTTTTGATATTTCTATGTCAAAGCAAAGGGCACTTTCTTTTAAGGCTACTTTCAGAACTTGTCTTTGTATTTTCTCCAAACTATAAATGCTGTTATGTCCATTTGGAGGCCAGGGTACCACATGTCACAGACAGCCTTACATGTGTGCCATGAGAAGGTTCAAAGACTGTTAACAAAAAAGAAAGTCTGTGGGAACTCGAAATTTCATTTTTTTAATGTAATCCCCAAGATTTTCTCCAAGAAATAAATTAGTGTTTTATATTTTCTAACTTAAAAGCAGCTATTAGTACATTTCTGAGATATATAGCAGGAGACCAAAACATGTTTGGAAAGAGAATAAATATATGAAGAGAGACTGGTTGGTTTATTTTCAATGTGCTGAATATATCAGACTATTTATTTTGTGAGTGGATGTGCTGAAATATTCAGGTGTTTAGTGTATGATTAAGAGTGGGATATAGATTTCTTTGGAATTACTAAATCCATCACGTCTTTTACATAATGGACAAATCAAGTAAAAAAAAAATTTACATAGTTTAGCTTGTTTTCTGGTGCTGTTGACCTGCAAGAGAATCTACTTTTGCATCTACAGGTGAAAGTTTTGCAATTTATGTATAAAAGAAATTGTAGGCATTAAAAATATTTTATTGATATTTTCACTGGTTTGCATTTATTTACCAAAACTCAGATATTCCTTTTTTTTTAAATATAATTTTATTTATTTATTTCTCCCAAAGCCCCAGTAGATAGTTGTATGTCATAGCTGCACATCCTTCTAGTTGCTGTATGTGGGACGCAGCCTCAACATGGCCGGAGAAGCGGTGCGTCGGTGCGCGCCCGGGATCCGAACCCGGGCCGCCAGCAGCAGAGCCCGTGCACCTAACTGCTAAGCCACGGGGCCAGCCCAGATATTCCTTATTTCATCACCCTGAACATCTTTCCAGCTAGAAACCCCAGTAGACTCATCCGACTTCAGAGATGGGGTTTGCCTCCTTACACACACACCTCTGTCTGTCATCCCTGACACGTTCACATCTGCTCAGCCCCTACCACTGATACCTACCCCCCCTAGCTTAGAGAACTGTTCTGCTATCAGACCCCCAAGTTAGGAGAACTGTTTGGTGGTATACTCAGGGAACTGGAGGGAAGAACAACTGGGTATATAGTTCTTCTTGTCAAGAAAATGAGCAGGTTCTGATCCCCTATAATAAAAAGAGCCTGGAATGGCTGAGAAGATGAGTCCTTAGGAATATCTATGAGGCAAGTGGGCACAGCCCTGCAGCCAGAGAATGTAGGCACTTAATGGAATGTGTTGAGTTTAGGTCATATAAGAGGTATCTTAAGAGATGCTAGTATCCTAGATTCAGAAATTACAGTTTTGCTTGTGGATTTTGAATTCACTTTGCTTTCCATAGAAAATAAAAAGGGTAATCCATTCAGTGCATAGAGCCATTTACAAATAGTTTAACAAACATATACCAAATAGTCATCAACAAGACGCTGTCTACATAACCAAAAGAGCTCCTTTGCTGGTAAGGGTGCACTTCTGAACAACGCAGCTATCAGTCACCCCCAAGCAGACACAGAATGAGAACGTGTATTTTAAAAGTATTTGCTCCTGTGTTTTTTTTTGTTTGTTTTTCCTCTCTCTTTTAGGGTCAGAAAGTTCCCAACCACCTTTAGAGGGCTTATTAGGAATATCCTCAGGCTCAGACACCCAGATTCATTGCCTGGGTCTTATACTTAGGTTCCCGTCCTTGGTCTCATACGCTCAAACTGTCTTACACTGAGGCTGAGCAGTTTGCTTCTGTTGCTCCACATGCTGCCTGTGTTAGCAGCAGTTGCTCCTAAAAAACTCATCCGGCAACATGGCTATTCAGGTGAGAGAGACATTTGAGCCAAGAGGCAGCCAAGATCTTGGATATCCCAGTCTCTCTTGTTTGGCTCTTTTCCTTGGCACATAAAAGTGTGCCAAGAAGTCCTGGTTCTTAATCTTGACTCTGCAACCCAGAGTGGTGTTGGGTGGTACGGTTCTTAAGCTTCTCAACTTCATTCATGCCGTTTTGTAAAATGAGGCTAGTACCCAGCTCAGAAGGTTATTGTAAGGATGAAAATAATGTATAATTTAGTATCTAGCAAGCAATATTAAAATGAGGTCCTTTCTTCACACAGTGCAAGCTTCGAGTTTTTCACAACAGCTGAGAAGAGGCCACAGAGAAATATCCCCAAAGAATAGGCTTAAAGTTGCTGCAATCTCTAACCCTTTCTGTAACACTTTTTCACCCCTGGACTCAGAAGAAAGGCATTACTTGGAGAAATAGGTCTAAAGAGCTCTAGAGAATTTCTATCCTTCAGGAAACAGAACGGGGAACAAATTGAACCAGGTACCTTTGTCTTAATGCCAGTCTTAGAGACTGAAACAGAGGGGACCCAATCACTCCCACCCACCTTGACTACCTCCCCACCCTCCATCTCCCTGTTTTGAGCTAAGAGAATACCAAGTCTTCATCCATCTTAAAAAAGTTCAGTAACTTTTTACATAAAATGTGACAAAACAATGTGCAATTACTTTATGTGAAACCAACAACAGGAACAGTACAGCTGGTCAGGTGAGCTTCAGAGCTGCATTACTTCACCAGGATCATCTTTGCTTATTTCCACTGGAGTCTAGGGGGAAAAAAGGATGTCAGGTGTTGGCTAGGGTGTGGGGCTGAGGTAACTGCCCTCCTTCCCAAGGGCAGGCAGGGGCAGCTGTGTCTAATTCCATCTCACCCAATGCCTCCGATCCCCGTTGTCAGGGGCTTAGCAGTGTGGGTGCAGACAAGAGGCAGAGAAAGGACAAATATCCAAGGTCTAACAGCAGGAGAGAGGAAAGAGACATCTGCCACCAGGACCATTTTAAGACCAGTGTTGACCTGGTGAGGGAGAGTTAAGTGCGGATTGCTGGTGTGGGCTGATTTAGGAAATGGTATTGAAGGCTGAGCACGCAAGAAGTCTTATGAGCACAAGTCTAGGTCACCCACGTCAGACAGCTTGACTCTGGACCTGAGATAGCTTTACCTCTATACTTCCAGTTTATTTGAAAGAAACTGAAGAACTTAAAAAGAGTAAAGACTCTTAGGAAAATATGTATAAAAGATCACGTGAAAGACAGAGGGAACTCGCCCAACTCTAAGTAGATAGTGAATAAGTATAGAAGTAGGTAAGCTACAATAACTTTTTAAATAAAGAAAACAGTATTTGTTTCTGAAGTTACTAGAGTTGGATTTTGATGCTTAGTTCATTTATCTGGGGGAATACATTTCAAAGTAGGAACAGAACAAAGCTGAAGGCACACTTACCCCTCCTGGGGGATACTTAAATCCCTTCCACATTGTTCCTGCAATGAGAAGCATCCATAAGACAACAATCATCGTGGGGCTTCTTGCTCAGCTGGTGGAGTGTGCAGGGGAAAATGGGTGGTTTTGAAAGGCGTGATGTTCTATTTCCTGAGTCCTGGAAACTGGGCTGTCTTCATTCAAGACCAGATGGTGGATGGCTCAGCATGATAGCTCCTGGCAGAGGAGCTTCGTGGTCCAGTCTGACCTGAAATGGCTTGCCATGGCAATTTTAGGGAGCAGAGCTCAGACACCAATTGTGACATCAGCTCCTGTGACCTTGGAGACCAGTCAGAGTGAGTAGCTGTGGGACAGTTGGCCAGGATGCCAGGGGTGTTGGGGCTAAAGAACCCTTATCGGAAGGGCCCTGTTCTCTGATGACTCTAGGTAGTTAGGATCTAGCTGCCATCATATCTTTATTAATTCACATCTGCCAAAATTTTCACCATTGGCTTTATGCAATCAGTTGCAAAAAACACTGATATGCAAAAAACAAAACAAAACAAAAAACACCCTGGATTAATTGGGAGGATTAATTGGCTAGGTATGCTATGAGCAATTACTTTATATACCATTGTTAGGCTATGCAAAGAACAAAAAGCTTGCATTTTGTGAAATGGCAGTTAAACCCTTATCGTGCAGGGTACGCCTTCTCACAACTTTCCTGAGAAGGGAAGAGAAGGAAGATGGGCTGTTCTGCTCATTTCACAGCTGGAGAAACTGAGGCACAGAGTATATTCAGTGGTTTGCGCAGGATCACAGCGTGGCAGTAGATCAGCTAAACAAGAGCCCAGTGCCCCATTCATCCACCTTCCCACAGAGGGACGTCTGACTGTGTCAGGCCAATACTCTCATTAAAATTTTGGGGCAGATGGAGAAAAAAAAAGAACAACCATCACGCCTTGCTCTTAGTATACCTAGGGCTGAGACTTGATACCCATCTTCCAGAGTAGCTTCCCAGGAAATCTGCTCCTGTAATCAGTATATTACTAAAACTCTCAGAGTTAAGTTTCTTTAACAATGGGAACGTCTTTGAAAAAACAGGTCTGAATGAAATGGGGTGGGATGTGAGAGACCGAGGAGATGGTTTACTAAAAGGACACTGCTATCAATGTTTCCTACAGACAGGCTGGTCTAGTGGAATGAGTGTGAGAGGCTATTAAGTCCAGAGATCTACACTTGCATCCCAGCTGCACAAACGAGTTGTGCAACTTTAGGTTGCATTAAATGCTTTATGTGAATTCTTAAACATCATCTTCACAAAAATAGTAAGATACTGAGATATCTCCGTTATAAAGATGAAGAAACTGAGGTTCAGGTAGATGAAACTTTCCCAAAGTTTACATAGCTAGTAACTTGCAAAGTTAGGACTTGAACTTAAATTCATGTTAACTCCACTTTCCCAATCTGCCAAAGGGGCAATAAAAATGCTGGTCCCATTTATCACAGTATGTGAGGAAAAAATAATAGATGGGAACAGTCAAAAAAGAATACCTGTGCAGTGCGGTTATTAACAAATCTTTGAACCTTAGCCTGCTGTCTTCAGCAGTGCTCCCCAAATTCTCTTTCCCCACCATACACCTCAAATCATTTCCCCTTCCATAGTTTATTTTCCAGAGGAATATAAGCTCTCCACTGACTGGGGGCTACCAAATTCTCTGGACAGGGAGGCCCAACAGACTTGTCCGCCCACTCACAGTTGCAGATCTTCATCCACAGCCCAGCTCCTCCGTCGTGCCTTGCTCTCCTGAACAGGCCACCTCTCCTTCCACTTCAGAGTGGGAGGCTGAGTCAGAAAGACATTGAAAGGCAGAGGGGGCTCCACTCATCAGTCCAGTAGGTAACCACCTCTGTACGGGACTGGAAGGGCTGCTCAAAGGTCTCACCAATGCCCATATTCCCTTTCCTCCCAGCAACCACTGATCCACCTGGCCTGAAATCCGCAGGTCAGGCACTGTCTCCAGCAGACCCCTTATAAATTCAAATGCTTTGAAATAAGTGACCCAAAGGCGGGGAGGTCATGGGGGGGAGACTTAAAGATGTCCCAATGGGATGGGAAGTAGCCTGGGAAACTAACTTTGTTCCCATTCCATCCTGACCTCTAATTAGCGGTAAGACTTCAACTATCTCTCCCATTTGGTAAGAAACCCCAGCTGGGAGGGTTAGCCAGAGCCAGGACTGACTACCAGGGTCATTACTTACCATGAACTCCGGAAACGTGCCCATGTAACATGCAAGTCCAACAAAAAGCATCCAGCCAAGCACGATCATGATAACAAATAAGACAATTTCTAAGACACAATTGCACAGTGAAAGGCTCTTCACCAAGATCTTGGCAAAGGAGTATGCTCATGAAACCCTCAGTTGGTAGAGGTCTCGCATGTCAGTTCCAGTCCTTGGTTCCAAAAGACCCGCAACTCCCTAGTGGAACAGTTGGAGTCTAATGGGGCATTGTGACGTCACTGGTCACATGGCCCAGACTCACAATATGGCAGAGATACTGCTGAGCAGTATCTGACCAGTAGCTGAGCAGCAAACTAAGCTCTTTGTATGCATTATCTCACAGTAACAACATGAGGTAGGTACGATTATCAAACCCATTTTACTAAAGAGGAAACTAAGGCTTAGAGAGCCTAAGTGACCTGCACTAGGTCACACAGCTGATGCTCCAGATCGGGGCCAGGACTTGGGGCCAGCTGCCTGTTAGCAAGCTGGGCAATTTAGACCAGAGACAGGGATTGGGAAAGGTGTATTCCTACGTCTATTACAGCTGTGAATGAAACACACTGAATCCTAGGGAAATGAGATACCTCTTTATTTCTGTCCGTGCAACCCTTCCCCTCCCATCTCAAGGGCTCTTCCACCACTGTTTTATACCACTCTCCAACACCTTTGCTCAGTTCCTCTCCACTGGTTCTCTTTTCTTGGCCTTCAAGAAGCCACAAGCATTCTTGTCCTCTCCTCACAAAAACCTCCAACTGATGCTGTGACTCCCTTCCTGTCTCATTTCTTAATTTCCTTTTATGACCAAACTTCCTAAACAAGTGGTCCATACTCAAAGCTTTCCTTTCCAATCTACTCCTTTCTCCCACGTACCACATTCTGACTTCTGGCCCCTCCCCCACCCCACTACTCAGATGTTCTCAGAAGCAACCAGAGGTCTCCTTTCTGTCCAGTCTAATGACCTCATCTTGATCCCTTTGACCTCCCTGCACTGACACAGTGGACCCCTCCCTCTACCAGAGTTCTTTCTACATATACATCTCCCTATTTATTATTTTAATATCCTCTTTATTTTCATTATTTTTTAAATTATAAAAATAATAGTTGCTCACTGTAAACAATGAAACCATCCAAAGATGTATAAAGAAAACCTTGAGTTTCCTCTTCTTTCTCCCCTCAATTCCCATCCCCATGATGTAACCAATGCTACCAGCCTGGCATGTATCCTTCCGCCAGAGACCTCTCCATGAGCTTGCAAACATCAGGACACATACAGAGGGGTGTAGAGGGTTTTCCCCAGTGTTGTTTTATTAATGATGATCATACTACATATGCTACTGTGCAACCTACTTTTCTCCTGTAACAATACATCGTGGACATCCTACTGGGTCAATTGATAAAAAATATAAATACATTCCTTTTTTTGTTTTTAATAATAAGCTTTACTGAGGTATAAATTACATATGATAAAACTCACTCATTTTTAGGGTAGAGTTGATGAGTTTTGAAAAATATGTCAATCCTGTAACTACCACCACAATCAGGCTAGAAAAAATTTTGATCATCTCAAAAAAAAGTTCCCTTTGCAATCAATCCCCTCCCCCTGAGCCCCCTGGCCCCTGGAAACCATTGATCTGCTTTTGCATTCTCTAGAACTTCGTGTAAATGGAATCACAAGCTTCTTTCACTTAGCATAACGCTTTCGAGATCCACCTATGTTGTCTGGGAGTTTGTTCTGTTTCATTGAATAGTATTCCACCATGGGGACAGACCAGTTTATCAGTTTACCTGTCAAAGAACACTTGGGTTGTTTCCAGTTTGGGGTTATTATGAATAGAGATGTTATAAATATTTGCGTAGTTTTTCGTGTGAACATAAGTTTTAATTTCTCTAGGGTAAATACCCAGGAGGGGGATTGCTGGATCATACGGTAAGTACTTGTATAAAACTTTTTCTCTTTATCACTAGTTTTCAGCAATTTTATTCTGATGTGGCTTTATGTAATTTTCTGCATGTTCCTTGTACCAGGGGTTCGATGAGCTTCTTGGATCTGTGGGTTTATGGTTTTCATCAAATTGGAAAAATGTTTGGCTATTATTTCTTCAAATATTGTTTCTGTCCCCCTTTTGCCTCCTGCGATCTCCATTACATGTGTTAGACCAGTAACCAGTGTGACGTGTCCCGTAGCTTGCTAGTGTTCTGTTCACTTTTTCAGTTTTTGTTTCTCCTTGTGTTTCATTTTGGGCAGTTTCCATTGCTGTCTTTTTCAAGTTCACTCATCTTCCTCCATAGTGTCTAAGCTTCTGTTAATCCCAGTGTATTTCTCATCGATGTTATATTTTTCATCTCCACAAGTTCAATTTGTCTTTTTCATTATGTCTTTCATTTTTCTCCACATCATGTTCATGCTTTCCTTTATACCCTTGAGCATATTTATAAGACTGATAATACACATTTTAAGGACACTGTTTGCAAATCTCTCATCTCTGTCATTTGTGGGGCTGTTTTTTTTTTTAAAGATTTTATTTATTTATTTTTTCCCCCCAAAGCCCCAGTAGATAGCCGCATGCCACAGCTGCACATCGTTCTAGTTGCTGTATATGGGACGCGGCCTCAGCATGGCCGGAGAAGCGGTGTGTCAGTGCGCGCCCGGGATCTGAACCCGGGCCGCCAGCAGCAGAGCGTGCGCACCCAACCACTAAGCCACGGGGCCGGCCAGTGGGGCTGTTTTGATGGTTGATTTTTCTGTTGTGGGCGATACTTTCCTGCTTCTTTGAATGCCTGGTAACTGTTGGTTGGGTGTTCAACCTGGTGAATTTTACAGTGTTGGGTGCTGGATTTTGCTGTAGGATTTTCTTTTGGATGCAGTTAAACTACTTGGGATCAGTTTGATTCTTCCGAGGCTTGTTCTAAGCTCTGTTAAAGGTGGGCTAAGAGCAGCCTTTACTCTAGGGATAATTATCCCCACAATTGAGCTACAATCCTTCTGACTTCTCTCTCTGAGACCTATTGTATTAGGTCTTTCCAATCTGTGGAATTTTCCACAACTCCCAGCCCTTTTGGGAGCTCCAAGAAGTGTTTGGCCTACTGTTTCCGGGTAGTTCTTATCCTGGCTCATGGAGTTTTATCCCATGTATGCACAGACACAACTCAGCCAAAGACTCACAGTGGCCCCTATGGAAATCTCCAGAGTTCTTTCTCTGTGGAATTCCCTCTTCTCAGGACTCCATCCTGCAAATTCCTGGCACTCTGGCTTCCTTTGTACTCCAGACTGGTATCTGTTTGGGTAACCCCTCTCAGTGCTGCACTCTGAAAACTGCCTCCAGGCAGCAGGCTGGGGCAATTGTAAGGCTCGTCTCCTTTGTTCCCCTTCTCTCAAAGTTCACAGTTTTGTGCTGCCTCTTGTA